CTACTTTTAGTTCTTCAAGGAATCTCCACACTGTTTTCCATAGTGGTTGTATTTAGTTTACATTCCTACCAACAGTGTAAAAGTGTTCCATTTTCACCACATTCACACCAACATCTATTTTAATTTTTGATTTTTTTATTATGGTTATTCTTGCAGGATTAAGGTTGTATCATGTTGTGGTTATGATTTGCATTTTCCCTGATAATTAGTAAGGTCGAGTATTTTTTCATATGTTTGTTGGCCATTAGTATATTTCTTTTGAGATATACCTAGTGTAAATGATGAGTTAATGGGTGCAGCACACCAACATGGCACATGGTATACATATGTAACAAACCTGCACGTTGTGCACATGTACCCTAGGAACTTAAAGAGTATAATAATAAAAAAGAGAAATTGTCTATTCGTGTCCTTAGCCCACTTTTTTGATGAGATTGTTTGTTTTTGCCTCCTGAACTGATAACATAGCTCAGGGGCTACCTCTGTCTTAGCAGAGCAGCAGCTGAAAAAAGCAGACAATTCTTAACAAACAGGTAGATCAGGAATGCTCACTTCTAAAAACATCATTTATTCAGCACAAGTGGTATTTCTCATGTGTGAATGAAGCTTAAACTTCAGCTTTCATTTATAAGAATTAGGAAATGCAGATTAAATCTCTGATGCCATATTGTGAATTCAGTAAAGGTTAACTAATCTACCACGCAAAGACAAACTTTAGCTATCCTACGCTTATTATTCTGGAAATTTAATGAAAATTAAACAAGAAGACTCACAGAGTATAAGCATTGTCCCTCCGCCTTAACAGTGCTGTTTTCAGCTTCGGTTGCCTGAAACACTGCAGAATAATTCAGATTTTTTGTGACCCCACCTTTTTATTCAGTAAAACCAAAGTACTAAACTAATAAATGTGAAAAAGGATGTTGGGTTTAAAAAGAAAAAGCCTCAAGACATCGAGCCTCTTAGATATTTTAAAAGTGAAGACTGAGAAGGAACTCACTGTTGCTAAATAGAATTATAGGATTATGGTCAATTTATAATCTTTTCAATACGGGATTTGAATGTTCTGATATTACATACGATGTACATACTTTATTTATATAGTACCTCCAGAGAAGAAAAAAAGTCAATATTTGTTTATACAGCATTTGGCATGTTATTCACATATGCAGTGATGTATACCACGTCAGAGCTAGAAAATACCTTAGATGCGATTTGGATTCAGCGCTGGGCGAGCCCGCCCCCGCCGAGCCCACCCCGTCCCCTCCCACCCCGCCACGCCTCTCCCCGCCCTCTCCGCCCCCTGCCCCTCCGCCCCCTCCCTTTAGTCCCCCGCCCCTCCGCCCCGCCCCCTCTCCGCCCCCTCCGTCCAGCCCCGCCCCCTTCGCCCTGCCCCGCCCCTCCCCCCACTCCTCCCGGCCGAGCTCTGTCCCGCCCTCTCCGCCTCGCCCCGTCCCCTCCGCCCGGCACTGCCCCCTGAGGCATGCGCAGTGCGCCTGCCTGGCGGGGCTGCTTGTTTGAGGACTGCGCGTCGGTCTCCGAGACCGGTGTCTGAAGTCGTCAGTTTACTGCTTGTAAGGAACCTAGCGATCACTCTGAACCTGGACGTAGAGATTCCTTTCCGCCGTCCTTCCGTCCCTAGGGCTGCTGCTAATCCGCCCGCCGGCAACCAGGACCCCAGGCTGGCTGAACGCCCGCACCCATCTCGCGCCCCAGGGCCCGCTACGCGCCTGGCATAATGGGAAAAAAATCACCACGGAAAGGTCCAGCCCCTCACCATGCAGACGGGAAGCTCGGCCGCACGTGTAAGGACCCTTACGCCCCTTGGGGTTTCACCCCCGCTTCGCTGGTTCCAAAAGCCTGGGTCGGGGCCTCCTTGTCCTGTGGGGGCCTCTCAGCCGCAAAAACACAGGCCCGAGCCCGCGGGCCTCCCCACGGCCGTGCTAGGCGCCGCTCTGCCCCCAGCACTGCGCCTGCGGGACACCTGGCTCACTTTTCCATTCGGATGATGTCCCTGTACTTCGGTGGCTGCAGGCTCCTCAAGCCCCAGGTCTGTGCGGGGACGAGCAAAGCAGCAGAATATCCATGCACATCTTTCTGGAGCACCCATTTTACTACCAGAGTTGGAAGGAACGAAGTTAAGTAATTTCCAAGGCAAGTAATTAAAATTTACGGTGAAAAGGCTGGAAACTCTTCTGCCGGTAATAACTGTCAGACATATCTGTGGCTGAAATGCCAGACTTTCTCTGAGAAAAAAAACTGAGAACTGTGTCCCATTATTTAAAATAGGAAAATTATAGGGCACAGCAAGTCAATAGAAAAAACCTACCAATTTCCTAACTCACAGTGTGGCAGTAGGTTTAAGTTGCACTAAGTTAGGATGTAAAATACTTAAATGTTGCCACTTGGCACCCACATTTGATATGGTTGTTACCATGCAGTTGCCTTGTATCCAGTAGCAGTGGCTGAGAGCCAGCAGTATCACTCATTTGTCAACACACCAAAGCTTTTCGAAGTCACCGTCATGATCCTGGTGGTCAACCAGTTGTTTCTGGAAGCAACATGTGCTTTTCCAGCAAACTAGTTTAAAATGTTGTATTTTTTGAAAGCTCAAACTTTATCTCTACAACCATCAGCCAAAAATTTGAGACAGATTCTTGTCTTTTGCCCAAACTGCACCATGATAGGGGCTCCAGGGATCCACCTGCTTCAGCTCCCCCAGTAGCTGAGACCACAGGTGTGCACCACCATGCCTGTTAATTTTTAATATTTTTGTAAAAACTACATCTCCCCACATTGCCCAGGCTGGTCTCGAACTTCTAGGCTCAAGCAATTTTCCTACCTTGGCCTCCCAAAGTGCTGGAATTACAGCGGTGAACCACCGACTGAGCTAGGAGTATGAGACCAGCCTGGGCAACATGATGAAACCCCATCTCTACAAAAAATTTAAAAATTAGCTGGGGATGGTGGCACTGCCCGATAGTCCCAGCTACTCAGGAGGCTGAGGTGGAGGATTCTTGAGCCGGAGATCCAGGCTGCAGTGAGCCGTGATTGCACACTGTACTTCAGCCGGGTCAACATGTCAGACCCTACCCCCTCCCCCAAAAGAAAGAAAACTATTAGTTCATAATGCAGTTGATGAATAAATACATCCACAAAGAAAGGAGCAATCATAATATGTATATACTCGATATTAATATATAGTATTACATATAATTAATATGAATGCCTATAATGAATGGGCACTGTTTTAAGCACTTTATTATTATTTATTATTTGCAGCATCTGTGGGAGTTTATTAGGGGGAGAATTTCCTTAAATGTGCAGGGACCAGAAAGGCAGGGGTGGAGGGGTCCGCAGCCAGGCTCCGTGAGGTGGTGTCCCATGGACTCAGGTTGAGGGGTGCTCCTCCTCGGGCCCCCCCAGGCCATCCCTCTTCAGCAAGCGCATTTTCTGCTGGTGCTGCCGGACAAAGTCTCGCACACAGGTATCCAACATGGCCTCGGTGAGGACCCCATCCTCAGAGGCATACACCGTGGCCTGACAGGACACAACCAGCTGTGCGATCTTCTGGCCCGACATGCCCTCCGTCAGCCAAGCGATCTCCACGCACTTCCTCCCATAGTCAAACTGGGCCAGCTTCAGGTGCTGCTTTCCTTCTGTGGCCGGCTTAAGAACATACTTGTCAAGATACATTCTCAGCAGGAGCTCCTGCTCCTCCTGCCATGGCAGGTCGAAGTGAAACACCAAGTCGATGCAGTTGCGGATGTCCCAGTGGAACTGCTCGGGGTGGCGGCTGGCCAGGACCAGCATGAATTTGTTGCTGGCTGCGCTGACTCGTGTGGCTTAGGAAGCGATCTGGGTGGCTCTGAGGTCCTCGTTTATCTCCTCAGTGGCTCTCTTCGGAAGGAAGGCGTCCGCGTCAATCCACGAAAGAGCAGGAGCCCGCCGGCTGGCGTTTGGCCCAGTCAAACAGCTTGTGGCATGGCGTACCAGCGCCTTCAACCCCCCATCGGGGGCCACGTCCCGCGCCTGTCATGATGGTGTAGTCCATGCCCCGATGCAGCGGTGACAGTTTTCGTCAGGCAAACATGCGTCTTCCCGTGCCTGGTGGCTCCGTGAGCAAAGGACGTTTCCTGTACAGGCTGCAGTTCTTCCTTCGTG